GCCCAACGTTGCTTAACTTCAGTGATCGGACGAGAACTGGTGCTTTACAACGCGGTATGATCGTTGACTTATGAATCATATAATTTTATATTGTATTTATGCAGTTATGAAAATGAGTTATGAAGTATTTTTCATTCATAGTAATAACATTAAGTGCTTTAAGTAGAGTGAAGTGTATCATTTAAGAGAAAGGAGCTGCATATAAGTTCTTTTAATATTTTTAAATTGTTGTATATTTAGATTAAAAATTATTAAATCTCAATGGATAGAAATGGCCAAATGATTTGCATCAAAATTTTGATTAATAATTTTGCTGATATAAAAATGTTTTATTGCAAATTTCAATGAAATTGAACGATCATTTAAAGATATATCATTCATTTACTTGTATATATTTTAATTACATATATTAAAAAATTAAATAGATAAATAGTTTAAATTAAAATTTGTCTGAAACTTTTATAAATTATGAAGGTACTTTGTTTTAATTTTTAATCAAATTGACTGACTATTTCTAAATTTCATGCTTTATATATTAGTTAATAAACCATTTAATTTTTACAATTGTATCTTTTATTGATTTTATTAAACGATCTTTTGCTTTATTGATTTTTTAATTAATCTGATTCTTTGATAAATAATAATTATAAGAAAAAGAAGTATATATTTAGCATATATTTCTTGATAACATCATTTAATTTTTTGATCCTAGTTGTTTACGTGACGTTTGTTTATGGTAGCTATTTCAAATGTGCGTTATGCATCGGACCAGCGATGACAGTCAATGCGCACGGAGGAAATGTTCCCCGTCTCGTCCTTGTTGTCCAAACTATAGATCCACTGGTGGCACTAGGCTAGGATACCGTTGTAGGGCGTAAGCAAAATACCGCTTGCCGCGTTCTCGCAAATTAATGGGAGAACGTGCGTTCTTTCAAGGGATCCCGTGAGAAATGGAGAAGTAATAGCGATATGTAAATCTCACCGTGTATTTCATTGGATGAGTTACAATTGTTTGTGTGTCTCTTGTATGATGCATAGTTAGCCGAACTGATTGCTTGAGAGCTTAGACGTTGTGAGTCTGAAAGATGGAACTTGACTCCTCAGGTGTTGTGAGTCTGAAAGATGTAATTTGACTGCCTTTTTGTCTATTTTGAACTATCCACGTAAACTTAAATGAGATTGGTATAGGGCGGAGTTTGACCTATGGAAAGGGAAAGAATAAATGCCCTATTGGTCGGAGATAGTTCGTTGGAATGTTTGAACATTCCATGTGTGCTCCTATGTTCTAATGATCGTGATTGGAGTATGACAATGGATATTTCAAGGATAGGCGCAGATAGCACTTAGCTTATCGAGCCTAGGCTTCTACTTTTACTGTTTATTTATTGGCCGATTCGACACATTATCGAAACCCAGGTACTTTACTAAGAATGCCTAAGCCCAGACAAAGGTGGCTATATATTTCTTATCTATGCGTTTTGTTAGTTAATAACCAATAGATTCCAACGGGTAAATATTTTCAATGATAATATATAACCCTTAAGACAAAGTGTGGCGAACAATGGACAGATGCACGTGTACGTCAATGCTAGTATAATTTTTATTTAACAAAATTATAGACTCGATTACAAGTAACAAAATCTTTTTTACAATTTATCGCCATTTGTGTGCGATTAATAAAATAATGAAGAAAGATATCGTTATATTCAAAAACTTTTTTCTTTCACTTCTGATGATACATAATAAACAATCGTAATTGCGTTAAAAAAAAAGAAAATAAAGAAAAGAAAATTATCCCTTATTTTAATGAAAAAGAAATGAAGAATTTGCCATCAATTTCATTTTATCGTTTTGATTATAATATCTTGTTAATTGTTTAAAAGAATTATTTCGGAATAAAAATTATAATATCTTTTATTAACTTATCTTCGTCTGTTTATCTTATTCATTAATTGGACTGATGTTAACAATTTATGGATTGAACTTTTTCACAGTTTATTTCGTATTATAGATTAAAGACAACGACTTCAAAATGTACAATTTTTCACAATTTTATATAAATAAAAAATATCTTAACATTTCGATCGAAAAGAAAAAAAAAAAAGAAACAAAGAGGAATAATTTTTATTTTGATAAGGTGCACAATAAGAAACACGTACAAAATGATATTCATCATTAAGAAAGCGATCGTACAAGTACATACACTTTCTAACAATTGATTAGAAGATAATTGATAATAAGGAGACTCGTGGATTCCAATTATACTTTAAAACTTTGAATACCCCTTTATTTTCTAGTCCGCAATAAATGTGTTGCCATTGTTTTCCTTTTTTTTTCTTTTTCTTATCCTCGAGAAATATTTACGAGGGCAGTGTGTAAAAACTATCGTCGGATGTAGAGTTCGAAAAAAAAAAAAAAGAAAAAAAAAGAAGAAAATGAAAGACAAGGTATATTATGCTCATAGAAATGGATAGACAAAAATGATTAATGCAAAATACCGTCCGTCAAGTGTTTATCGATTATTGTTGAATCGACTTCGTTCGTTAATAACTCACTCTTTTTCATTTCTATTTTTTTTTTCTTTTTTTTTTTTTCTGTTTCTTTTTTTTTTTATTCCGTTCCTTCGATACAGATTGAAACTCTCTGGTATTCTCTCTCTTTTTTTTTTTTTTCTGTCTTTTCTTTCCTTTTTGTTCTTTCGTTAGTCGCATAAACTATTCGACCAATCAATTTCAACCCCTCACGTATGTAATTTACGTCGTAAGTAAGTTTATGTTCTTACGAATTGTCCGTCGTCAATGATGTTCGAGGCAGCAAAATGAAAGGAATCAAAGAAGCACATTTTTCTTTTCTTTTTTTTTTTTTTTATAAATAATTATCAATTGCTAAGAGATTTTATAGAATACACCGTATTCATTCGTAATTATGTCTTTGAATTATCATAATAAAATATTTCGCAATGTCAAATTCATTATGTCTTGTATTATTCAATTAGAAATTGAAAATTTACAGAAAAGATCGCAAAAATGATCGTGGATAATTATGAGGAAACATATACCTTATTAGAAAATAATAAAAAAAAAGAAAAAAAAAAACAAGAAAATATTTGAAATTCATTCATGAATTTCAAAACTTTGAAATAATTATAAAATAATTATATATACCTTGCACTAAAATGTAGTTTGTATCGATAGTGAAGTTCAGTCGACAGGTAGCATAGATAATCAATTGGCATCATCGAGATTATACTTTGTACCAAAGTATCACAGTGTAATTCGTATTATAAGAACATCCAAAATGAAATTGTCATGAATCTGTCAAATTAATTGATTTACGATTTGAACGCTTCTTTCCTAGGAAGTCTTTACATGTGTCCAGGCACATTTTTCGATGTAAATTGCGACGTCCATTGTAATCGATCGATGAATCAGATTTCAATTTTCGGAAAGTACAAATCAGTCTTCCGATTTTTCAGTTTCGTTGTTATCCTGTAAAATACAATTTTCATTTTTTTTTTGCAGGGAAAAAAACAATCAATGTTTAACAGATGTCGACGATGCCATTTTTTTTTTTTTATGGATTTTCAACATTTTTTTTCAACACTCGTACTGTGCTCTTAAACAAGTACAAGCTTATGTGAATTTTCATTTAGGTGCGAAGATTCGATTGATCATCGACATGCTTTTTGTTACTTCGTAAAATTCTAATCACTTTCTAACGAATGTTCTTGACTTACTCGTATATCCTAGCGACAATTGCTTCGGATATTTTCAGGCCCTGGATTTTCGTTGTTAAAAATGAAACGCAAGTTCAAAACGCGATGCATACACGAGATTCAATGATGAAAAATTGAAATTACGCTTACAGACAATGTTGTTCACTGTTGGAAATTCGTAAAAAAAAAAAAAAAAAAAAAAAAGAAAAAAAACAAATGAGACATTTTCCTTTTTTAACGTAACTCGATTCGAAATTATAGAGAACGTAAAGAGCACGGTATACTTGAAAAATATCAGTCTCAATCAGATCAATTATTTTTTCAAAAAATATTGATTTGGTAATTGAAATGTTTAAACTAATATCCACGTAATAATATTTTATTTTTAATTCATGTCCTTTGTCATAATAAAATAAAATAATATTTGGTAAATATACACTTCAGTACACAAAACTTCTCTTCGCATGTAAGTAATCATTTTTGTCACATGAAAGTGCTTCTGTTTAACTTCCTACGTATAATCCAATTTTTGTTATTTTCAGCAAGCAACTCAAATGATCTTCAAGCAATCTATTTGTAAGAGGATCGATGCTAGACCATAATTTTTCTAGACACTTCATAACGATCAGTTAGAACCGAACTAACAATAAGGAGACTCGTGAAAGGCTAGAATTCAACTACTCAAAAATTTGGATACCCTTTTACTTTTCCTTTTTTTTTTTTCTTTTTTTTTTCTTTTCTATTCTTTTTATTCCCAGTATTTAAAGCGAGCGTAGCCGTTTGCTTTTTTGCTCGAGTAATATTCACGAGGGCGGTACGTAAAAACTTTTGACGGATGTAGAGTTCAAAAAAAAAAAAAAAAAAAAAAAAAAGAAAAAAGAACGAAAAAAACGAAAAAAAAAGAAAATAGAAAACGAGGTATATTCTATCAAAAGGAAAGGGTAGATAAAAATGATTAATGCAACACAACGTCGATCAAGTGCTGATAGATTATTGCTGAACCCGACTTCGTTGGTTAACAGCTCACCCCATATTATTTTGCCCGTTCTTCTTATTTTTTTTTTTTTTTTTTTTCTGATCCGTACTTTTGATACCGATCGAAACTGGACTTGAAAACTGTCTCGTATTTTCTTTCCTTTCTTTTCTTTTCTTTTTTTCCTTTTTTTCTTCTTTTCTTTTCGTCAGTCGCATGAACTATTCAATCAACCAATTTCAACCCCTTTCGTACGTAGTTTACTTCGGGAGTAGTTCGTGCCCGGACGAACAGTCCGTCGGCGACCTTCGAGCGAGCAAAATGGAAGGAACCAAAGAAGTACGGTGATAACGTCGTTTTATTTATTTATTTTTATTCTTTTTTTTTTATAAATAATTGACAGTTCGTTCGACGAGTGCGACGTTTTTTTTTTATTGACAATAATTGTCACGAGTGAATTTGTTATGATCTCTTGTAAATGAAAAAGCCATTGGGACAGTTTCAAATAAATCGATATCTTATCGTTGCTTTTTTTTTATTTTTTATTTTTTTTATTTTTTTTTTTTTTTTGTATTTTTTTAACCCCTGAAATCTCGACAAAATGTCGATAATTTTTGTTAACGTTTTTAATCGGAAACGTATTTTGCTCCTTATTTTTATTTTTCTTTATTTTTTTTTTTTTATTTTCTATTTTCATCTTTTTTAAACTATCATTATGATTTCGACTAATCGTAATTTTTCTTTTTGTAATCTATTTAACAATATGATTGCCACGCTGTTATTATATGAGACTGTTAATTATTTTGTATTCTTTTTTCTTCTTTTCTTACATTTTCATTTTTTTAATCGTCCTGACGATTTCGAAAAATGGTAATTTTTATTTTGATATTTTTTTTTAACGACCTGATTGCCACATTCTATGACGAGCTTATACAAACGTTTTATTTATTACTGTTATATTTGCATTTTGTTGTTTCCTTTTTTCTTTTTTTTTTTTGTGCAATTTTGTGCCAAGTTTTCGTGCCAATAATTTTACATTTTTAGTCGAGTGACGGATCGATAAGTGCAATCATATATTATTGGAAGGTTACAGAGATAAGAGTATAATTTTATTTAATTATCAGACAGGCAATAATTAATTATTATATTAAAATTAATTAATTAATTGTGATAATTCTACTGACTTGAGGTATGTGCCTGTTAATGTGATAATACTCAATTTATTATTATTTAAATGTTTAATTATGTTTTCTAAATTATTATATAAATACATACATACATACATACAATATATATATATATATAATAATATGTATATGTACATATATGTATTATTCATATTTACAACTCATACACATGTATGTACATATATATATATATATATATATATATATATATATATATTATACATATTTACACACACACACACATTTGTATGTACATATATATATGAGGCTATTAATTATTTTGGTTTTCTCTTTTTTATATTTTAATTTTTTTAATCATCGTGACGATTTTAAAAAATGATAATTTTATTTTGATATTTTTTTAACGATCTGATTTTATGATGAGCTTATACAAATGTTTTATTTATTACTGCTATATTTGTATTTTGTTGTTTTCTTTTTTTGTGCATATTTGTGGAGTATATATATATATATATATATATATATATATATATATATATATATATTTAAATATTTTAGAAACACCTTTTATTGATTACATATATAAAAAAAAATATTTTTATAGGTAAGTTTATTTATATGTAAAGAAAAAGATTTATGAAAACAATATTTTTATTTTATTGTCGTATAAAAAAAAAATTTAACATAACAATACTAATACGTTTATTTTTATTGATATTACAATGTCTTTTTTTATTGGTTATTATGAATGAACTTTTACACCCCCTAACATAACTAATAATTCAGTGAATTAAAGGATTATCTAATAATTTTATTTTTATACCCATTCACTTTTTTTTTAATTTTAAATATAAAAAAAGTCAAACTTCGTATATCTTTTTTTTTTTTTATTGTTTATTAAATATATTAATATATTAATATATGTTATATTAATTTATTTTCTTTTTAAATATAATTTAAGAAAATGTTTTTCATAACATAAAAGCGTTAACATTAATCATTTATATTACAGAATTTTTCTTAATTTTTGTTTTGTAATTAATTATGCTTTAATTCCATCTCATTAAACATTTTTATATTTATTAATTTTTTAATCTATGGTATTATCATTTTTTAATTTTAATATTTCTTTGACATATTAATTTTTTAATTTATTATATCTATTGGAGAGTAAAAAATATTAATAAGATGTAACAAACAGTGGAATTTAATTGGCGATAACGTTAACGTAATTTTTCTTATTATGCAAAATGGCCGCCAGTTGAACGAAATGTTTCTAGAATTTAAAAAAATCACAATTATTGATTTGGCCATAATAAGTAACTTTGTAATATTTAATACAACGTGTGGAACGAAAAAGTCCGTAGTTGACTTTGAAAATCAATAAATCTATTTCAATTAAATTTTTTAGACTACTTCCTTTTTGTACGAAGAAAAAATTATAAATAACTTATGAACTTTTTGACGTTCCGAAAAGAAAAACCATTATTTTCGAAATATCTTGAAAAGTAGTAATTGATTTATATTTTCTATTTAGATTCCTTTAGTACCATATCTGTATTAAAAATTTCAACACTGAGTAACAAATTATTGGCCAATCGAATATTATTTTTTTGAGAAATACATTAAGCTCATAATTTTACAAGCTAAGAACATTTACAAAACCACTTAAATCTGTATTATATTATGTAATCGAAATTTCGTCGTTTTTGATTATTATTATTATTTATTTTTTTTTTTTTTCAAGGTTCCAGATCTCACCGATACCCTGAAAGCGATAACGTGGAGCAAACGATTACTCGCTTATTCTGGAATTTGGCCATTGGAAATTCGAAATTCATTGTTCCTACCATTTTCATTTTACGGATGTGTATACAGTATTTTAGGATTTCTCGATTTAGCAGATCGTATCACCGATTTTCATTACGTATTGACAAACATTATGGAGAACATGTTGATGTTTTTGACAATGACGAAATTTGGTTTGTGCCGAGTAAAGTATCGATCTATTTCAAGATTTTTAATAGAAACGGAAAACGATTATATCATCAATAGTTATAAAACCGAAGAGGAGAGAATGATTTTTATGAAATATAACAGATTTGCCATTAGAATGATCTTGATTATGATCCTATTGATGACCTTCGTACTTCTTACACATTATTTTAATGCTGTTATACCAAATGTACTTATGGGTAATAACATTATTTTTAATATTTTCATTACATATCATTTTTTTTTTTTTAAAGATATTTTGGATACCCTTTTAACGCAATAATAGAAAAAAATTGTAATATATATATATATATTATGTTGGAAACTATGAAACGGGCGTTGAATGAAAATAAATAACTAAACAAAAACTCCCGTTTCATAGTTTCCAACCTAATACTTATATATTATGTTGGAAACTATGAAACAGGAGTTGAATGAAAATAAATAACTAAACAAAAACGCCCGTTTCATAGTTTCCAACCTAATATATATATATATGTACATATGTATAAATTTTTTTTTAACAAGAGTTATTTGATTATAATGGGGAGATTTTTATTTCGGTGAAATATTTCAAGGACATTGGAAAGACAACTTTGTATTGTCAAATACGCACTTACATTTTTTTTATAATGGCATATTCAATATAAATAATCAAGTAACTTTTTTCTCCATTATTTTCTTATTCATTTTCAGAGATATTTAAATAATGTTTTCTATTTAAACACTATCTTCTTTTAAACACAATATTCTCATATTTACAGGATGAAAACTTATAACGCTTTGTTTTGAAGCATCTTGTATACATATAAAAAATTGCATAATCGATTAAATATTCATGTATAGTATAGTTTAAAAATTCAAATTATGAATTTATTTATTGATATTATAACTAGAAAAATAATAACAACAATAATAATGATAATAATAATAATGAAAAGAAAAAAAGAAATAAGATATAGAAAAAGATAATAATGAATATGAGAATTATTATTCTCAATTATTATTAATAATTAAATATTATTATTAATAATTAATTAATTAAAATTATTAATAATTAATAAAAATTATTATTAATAATTATGTAACAAAATTAATTAAAAAATAAATAATACATATATACATATATATATATATATATATATATATATATATATATATATATATATATATAAAAGATAATATAATTATATAAAATATTAATTTATTTTAGATGTAAAACAAAAACAAAAAAAAAAACAACAAAGTTTGTCCATTTTGCATCGAACAAAACATGAATTATTTGTGAAAATAATTGAAAAAAAAAACATTACATTATTAACATTAATTATGATTCTTTCTCTATGCAGTTATGGCGAATTCTTCAGTGGAATATAAATTACCTTATAAAATAAAGCCGTTACTTAAGCCGTCCGATGTAAAAAGATATGTCTTTGGTTGTATACACGAATTTTTTGGCATAACATTGGTCCTTTCTGCTTACGTCGGAACTGATTGTTTATTGACTTCTTCCGGTTTTCATCTTACCGGCCAATTAGCCGTATTGAAGTGTAAAGTGAAAGAAATTTTAAACGATACCGATGGTTCTCAGCGGGGAATACAAAAAATTATACTTCGACATTATCATTTGATAAGGTGATCATATCTCTAATTAAAACGTTTAATTGATAAAAGAAGTGAAAATTAAAATTCTTTTTTTTTTTTTTCATTTCAAACGGTACAAATACGTAAAACGCAAAGTATTAAGTTGGAAACTATGAAATGGGCGTTATTGTTTAGTTATTTATTTTCATTCAACGCCCGTTTCATAGTTTCCAACCTAATATATAAGTATTAAGTTGGAAACTATGAAATGGGCGTTATTGTTTAGTTATTTATTTTCATTCAACGCCCGTTTCATAGTTTCCAACCTAATATATAAGTATTAAGTTGGAAACTATGAAATGGGCGTTATTGTTTAGTTATTTATTTTCATTTAACGCCCGTTTCATAGTTTCCAACCTAATATATAAGTATTAAGTTGGAAACTATGAAATGGGCGTTATTGTTTAGTTATTTATTTTCATTCAACGCCCGTTTCATAGTTTTCAACCTAATATATAAGTATTAAGTTGGAAACTATGAAATGGGCGTTATTGTTTAGTTATTTATTTTCATTCAACGCCCATTTCATAGTTTCCAACCTAATATTATAAGACGCGGAGCTTTTTCTTATGTATTTTTAAAATATAATCTTTTTTTAAAATATTTTTCCTTTTTCTTAAAGATTTATTAATATTTTCTTACAAAAAAAAAATTATATATGTTTGTACTCTAGTAGGGTTGTTATTAATAATATAAGTTTTTATCAATTAAGATTGTGAGTAATTTAATTGCAAGATAAATTTTAAAGATCATTGGGTTTTCTCGTAGATTTATACGAGTGTATAATAAAAGTTCAAAAATTCGTTTTCAGCGATGCCAAATTTGTTCTAACATTGATAAATGGAACAAATAAATTTTTATTATAATGAATAGATATTCCGTATAATTTAGTGTACGTATGAAAATATTATTTCTTTATGTCAGTTTATTATTTGTTCACATTTTATTCCAAGAAGTAAATTTCAAAATAATCGTTTTAATCCTTCATGTATAATATTTTTTGCGTCACATTATTTTAGATTTAAAATGATACAAATTTTTGTTTGAATACGTTTCTTTTTTTTTTTTTTTTCTAATACAACGAATTATTAATTATTTGATCATCACGTAGAAAAATTCAAAATGATCGTTTTAATCCTTAAAAAACAATTTCTTAGCAAAATCAAAAGTTACGTACGTTTAATAAATTTTTAACGTTCATGAACATTAATTGAAAATTAATTGATATTAAACGTATATCAAAAAAAGAACAAATTTGTGTTCTTTTGATATAAAAAAAAAAGATGCTATTATAAAAAATAATTTATCCTCTTCTAATCTATTTCCAGATTAGCGGATATATTGGAAGATAGTTTTAACATGGTCATGTTTCTACATTTGTTAGGTTCAACGATTCTAATTTGTACGTCGAGTTATCAAATGCTTGTCGTACGTATACGTCTAATCTAAGTATAATAAATTAACATTTTACATCGTTTAATAAATAATTAACTTTTTAATTTTTAATTAATTAAATTAATTAAAAATTATTTTAATTTTTTAACTTTATTAATTAACTTAATTTTTTTTTTTTTTTTTTTTTTAGAGTTTAGCGGTATTAGAAAAAGTCTATATATTTACATTCGTTGTATACGTTTTTCACTTGTCGATCACAGTGTTCGTTTATTGTTACATGGGGGAATGTCTTATCGAGGAAGTAATTAATCGAATTCTTATTGAATTATTACGTTGGAAACTATGAAACGGGCGTTGAATGAAAATAAAATAACTAAACAAAAACGCCCGTTTCATAGTTTCCAATCTGATAGTTATGTATTAGGATTGGAAACTATGAAACGGGCGTTGAATGAAGATAAAATAACTAAACAAAAACGCCCGTTTCATAGTTTCCAACCTAATACATGTCAATCTATAATTAAATTTAATCATTTATTGATACGACTTTGTTTCTCTCTCTCTCTCTCTCCCTCTCTCTCTCTCTCTCTCTCTCTCTCTCTTTCTCTCTTTCTCTCTCTTTTCTTTTCTTTTCTTTCTTTTTTCTTTTTTTTTTCTTTAAATCCAGAGCACGACCCTATGCGAAGAATTTTATCATTGCGACTGGTACGAGCTCTCGACGAACGATTTGAAATCGATTTGTCTTTGCATGATTCGCGCTAGGAAACCATTGCAATTGACTTGTGGAAAGTTTTGCGCTGTATCCTTGTGCACTTTTACCGACGTGAGTTATTATTGTCATTATTGTCATTATTGTTCTTCTTCTTCTTCTTCTTCTTCTTCTTCTTCTTCTTTCTTTCTTTCATCTTCTTCTTTTTTTCTGTTTCTTTTTTTTTCACGTATCATTCGTTTTCTATCAAGTTTCGATTATCTTCAAAAGTTTTTATGTTTGAGCCGTTTATTTTGAAAGTGGCCTAACTCCATTTGTCAATTTTTTCCAGTTGCCATAATTACATGTACAACTTTATGTTAATTATCGGTAAAGCATTTCAAATTGCTTATGTTCCGAGCAAATACGATAATTCTTGACACATAAGTTTTCAGAATTAGTTCAATAATTGAACCGTGTAGTTTGAAAGTGGCCTAACTCCATTTATACTTAAATCAAAATATTTACTATTGATAATGTTTAAAAGCAGTAATGAAGGTAATTTTAATTAATTAGTATTTAACAAGTTAACCTCAGTTTTTGGACAATTGCGTTAGTTGAATAACCAGTACGTTTAATTAATATAAAACTTAAAATTTAATATTAAAATTTAGAAATTATTATTTCACCGATGGGGAAGAACAGAACAAGACCATTTAGTTCAGATAGTGAAGAAGAAATAGTAACTAATGATTTAAAAAAAAAATTGAAAAAGAAACAGAATTATAGAACAATATTCGTCTTAAAAAAAACAAAAAAACACACATTATAGCTTACAGTGACATGTGCGCCGGGCAAAATAGGAACATTAAAGTAGCTTTAATGTGATTAAAAATTGTCCAAACTTTGGAAAATAATGTGGAAATCATAGATCACAAATTTTTAATATCAGGACATTCGTTTTTACCAAATGATAGAGATTTTGGGGTCGTAGAAATGTCATTAAAAAAAAAATAATTTATTGTTCGTTCCTCAAGATTATTACAAGATTATTAAAAAGTGTCGGAAAGTTAATAACTTTATTGTAAATGAAATGAGACAAGAAGATTTTGTATTAACAAAATTATTAGAAGACGCAATTTTTAAAAGGGTAAAGAATTCTGCTGGAGAATCAATAAACTGATTAAAAATACATTGGATGCGGTTTGTCAGAAATAAATCGTATAAAATTTTCTATAAGACATCAATGAATGAAAATGAAAATTTTAAAATTCTGAATTTATTACCACGTCGGAGTAGACCAAGAAAGTTCGAAAATATTGTATTGACACTACTGTATAAAAATATCAGACAAATTACAACAGCAAAATTCAAGGACATAATTGACCTATTACGATATATACCACTGGAACATCATGATTTCTTCAAATCCCTTTCACGCACACAAAATCTAGATGAGTAGTAAATTGTTTTGTAATAAATTTAAGTTTGTAATTTTGTACGTTATGTAGTTAAAAAATGTTTTGAATCGCATAAATTATGTTTTCGAAGTGTTTTAAAGATATGTAAAAATAAATTGAGTATTGTTTTTCTTCAATTTGAAGCATCTTAAATTATGTTGAATGGACTTGGGCACCTTCAAATTTTATAATGAATATGATTGTTAATTTTGAAAGTGGCCTAACTTCATTCTTGATAAGAAAATGCATATTATTCACTTAATAATTGCTACTATTTTAATAGAAAGTATAAATTTAACACCCTTAGATACACTTAAGTAGTATGACTCATTAGTATCCTATACGTATATTTTTAAATTCATTGAAACGCAAACCCTTAAATATCTCGATTTGAAGATAAATGGACTTAGGCCACTTTCAAAATAAACGGCACATTTATTTCTTTCTCATTAATCATTATTATTTATTAATCATTAGTCATTAAACTAGAGATAAAATGTTTTTCTTAATAATTCGTTTATTCGTCATTTGTAATTTTTTTTTGTATGTTTCATATTTACAAAGAATTATTATTTCTCGTTGATTGTTTTTTCTGTGTGTGTTTTTTTTTGTTTTTTCTTTTTTCTTTCTTTAGTTTTTAGAATTTTTTCATTTCTAATATTTTCAATAATCTAATAAACTATTCGAGATTGAAATGATTTGTCATATTTTTTATGAATTTTACAGATTTTGAAGTCATCGATGGCGTACTTATCAGTAGTACGAACAATGGTGTAAACAATACTGTAAAACAATTAGTCTTGAATAATTATGACTGGAATTTTATAACTGATATGTTTATAAAAATTGTAATCATACTGCATTTAATAAAAGTGCATATAATCACGTCATATAGATAAGTATCGGTAAGATAAACATGATGGTATATTTATTAATTATATGAATATATTTGACTCATGCTGCCACTTTTCAACTGACTTGTCATTTTATTATCTTCTTTTTCTTTAATTTTTTTTTTCAAATATTAATAATATATAAATGTATATATAAAATTAAAATCATATTTAAATATAATAAAAATCATATATATTATAAAAATTATAAATTATCATTTTTGTAAAATAATGCGATTATTGCAATAAAAAAAAAAAATATTGAATTATTCTAAACTACCAATTTTTTTTTTTTTTAATAATGATATACCAGCACATGATTAGAATCTAGGACAAACACACAAACTGAAATGTATATATATATATTTCAGAACTTGTATACTAATACGTTAAAATTTCAAACGAATATTTTGTAAAAATGGCTCGACCGTTGCTGGATAATATTTTACTAGAGTATTATAATTGAAATGATCTTCATAATTTCAATTCATTTTCATTCGTCTAAGATTCTTCAAAATCCTTTATCGTTAATATACAACGTCTTTAAATCGTCACTAATTAAATGACAATTTAGCGAAATTTAATTTGGTTTCTTACATTATAACGACTTATTAAGTGTAATGATTGTTATATATTCTTGATTATAATATGATAAATGGAATTGATTTTTCTATTTGAAATAAATATTTACTGTGATCATTCAGAAGTAGATGCGTATATTTGAAAATTTTAACAGTTTTATAAACAGTGAATTATAATTGAATTGTGTAAAATAATTTAAAAGGAAATAATGTTTTAGCCCAGAAAATTGTAAAAGCTTAGGACGTATTACTCCTAAATGAATTTTCTGATTTTTATTTTAAATTAATCCGATTTTCTGATAAATAAAGATAATAAGAAAAATGTATTAATTGTTTGATCCTAATATAGTTTTTCTTTAATAAAATGATAAAATCGATAAACAACATCATTTGTTTAACAAAACTTTTTTTCAATCTATCACCATTCGTGATTATTTATAAAAAAAAACGAAGAAAAAAGTAAAAAAAATGTCAACAACACACGGTGTTCCCAAGCGGTCACCCATCCAAGTACTAACCGTGCCCAACGTTGCTTAACTTCAGTGATCGGACGAGAACTGGTGTTTTTCAACGCGGTATGGTCGTTGACTGATCAAACTTCTCATTTTATATGTATTTTTACATCGAAAAAAATGGGTTTATTCTAGAGTATATTTCATTTGTACAAAGTATTTTACGTCCGTTAAGTAAACCGTAGTGTACCAGATAAAAAAAATTCAAAATATACAAAATACATAATTCTTTAGTTTCTTCTCTTTGTTGGTAGTAAGATTGCGATCAACGAAACAGGCAGTTTAGATTCGGTGCAGATGTGTAGAAGTGACTTACAATGACATATCATTTTATTGTAGTTTAGGTTGCTTATAAAAAAGAAAAAAATAAAAAAGAAAGTAAAAAAATGTCAACAACACACGGTGTTCCCAAGCGGTCACCCATCCAAGTACTAACCGTGCCCAACGTTGCTTAACTTCAGTGATCGGACGAGAACTGGTGTTTTTCAACGCGATATGGTCGTTGACTGATCAAAATTCTCATTTTATATGTATTTTTACATCTGAAAAAGTGGGTTTATTCTAGAGTATAATTTCTTTGTACAAAGTATATCATTTGATTGCAGTTTTGGCTGTTTGTAAAAAAAGTATAATGAAGAACAAAAAAAATGTCAACAACACACGGTGTTCCCAAGCGGTCACCCATCCAAGTACTAACCGTGCCCAACGTTGCTTAACTTCAGTGATCGGACGAGAACTGGTGTTTTTCAACGCGGTATGGTCGTTGACTGATCAAACTTCTCATTTTATATGTATTTTTACATCGAAAAAAATGGGTTTATTCTAGAGTATATTTCATTTGTACAAAGTATTTTACGTCCGTTAAGTAAACCGTAGTGTACCAGATAAAAAAAATTCAAAATATACAAAATACATAATTCTTTAGTTTCTTCTCTTTGTTGGTAGTAAGATTGCGATCAACGAAACAGGCAGTTTAGATTCGGTGCAGATGTGTAGAAGTGACTTACAATGACATATCATTTTATTGTAGTTTAGGTTGCTTATAAAAAAGAAAAAAATAAAAAAGAAAGTAAAAAAATGTCAACAACACACGGTGTTCCCAAGCGGTCACCCATCCAAGTACTAACCGTGCCCAACGTTGCTTAACTTCAGTGATCGGACGAGAACTGGTGTTTTTCAACGCGGTATGGTCGTTGACTGATCAAACTTCTCATTTTATATGTATTTTTACATCGAAAAAAATGGGTTTATTCTAGAGTATATTTCATTTGTACAAAGTATTTTACGTCCGTTAAGTAAACCGTAGTGTACCAGATAAAAAAAATTCAAAATATACAAAATACATAATTCTTTAGTTTCTTCTCTTTGTTGGTAGTAAGATTGCGATCAACGAAACAGGCAGTTTAGATTCGGTGCAGATGTGTAGAAGTGACTTACAATGACATATCATTTTATTGTAGTTTAGGTTGCTTATAAAAAAGAAAAAAATAAAAAAGAAAGTAAAAAAATGTCAACAACACACGGTGTTCCCAAGCGGTCACCCATCCAAGTACTAACCGTGCCCAACGTTGCTTAACTTCAGTGATCGGACGAGAACTGGTGTTTTTCAACGCGGTATGGTCGTTGACTTGTGAATTTTCTCCCTTTATATGCATTTTTACATCTAAAAAAATTGATTTAATTTAGCGTATATTTCATTTGTACAAAGTATATCATTTTATTGTAGTTTTTGTTATTTATAAAAAAAAAAAAAACCAAGAAAAAGTAAAAAAAATGTCAACAACACACGGTGTTCCCAAGCGGTCACCCATCCAAGTACTAACCGTGCCCAACGTTGCTTAACTTCAGTGATCGGACGAGAACTGGTGCTTTACAACGCGGTATGATCGTTGACTTGAAAACTTTATCATTTTATTCATTATTTCTCCGTCCCTTAAG